ACGTGGTCGGTTTTTGTTTTGTTTGTTTTTGTCGTTGTTGTTTTCTATGCTGTATAGTTTTGCTCCACAGAAGCACACTGTGTTGGGAGTTACAGTTCTATTTTAAGTAACTAAATTGTTTTTAAATTGTGCCACGTGAGTGTGGCTCATGTGCAGTTTGCATTTTATGAACGTGTAGTTAAAATACAGAAAATAACCCCTTTCCCCACAAAGCTAATATTTTCCCCTCGAAGGATTTTACAGGACCTGTGGGTTCTCACAGCTCTAACCCGACTTGGAAAAGTATACCGTGCAGCCGGGCTCAGGTGCATCCTGTAGACTGGATTTGGTCTTGGTGACAGAAAAAGTGACACAGTCTTTAGGAAGGTTTCAACAGATTGCATAAAGTAACGTCTTTGTATTGGGCTTTCAAAGCCTTCCTTTCAGCTCCCACCGAGTTCTGCCCCCTGGTGGCCAATAAAAAAATATGGGGAGCTGGGAGGGGTAATTAGAGCATCCATTCATGTTGCGGACTGACAATTCCAAACGTCTATTGGGACTAGGAGTTTAAGTTGGGAAAAAGCAAACTTTATGTAACATCTTGCCCGGGAGGAATTTTAAAATGTCAAATGTACTAGAGAAACTTACACCAATAAGGAAAGTGTTAAAAATCTTAGTCGGAATGCATTGCATTTTGGAAAGTCTAATTAATGGGCCCCTTGTTTCCAGATGAACCCATTTAAGGGGAGGCACAGGAATTGGAGAAAGGAACTTCAATGTATCACTGTCTTAGGCCAGTGGTAGAGCGCTTGCCTAACGTGCACGAGGCTCTGAGTTCAATACCCATGACTGTAACATGAACTTTCTCTGTCTCTCTCTGTCTCTCTGTGTGTCTCTGTCAATCTCTCTCTCTCTCTCTCTCTCTCTCCTTCTTTCTCTTTCTTCATGAGTTGTTGCTATAGAGGGAAATCTACCTTTTAAAAATTACTTCTTGAATTCGATGTGCCTAACTGTTGAGGAACGGTCTCATGTATCCCAGGCTGGCCTGCTCGGTTGGGAGGTGCCTGAACTCTCACAGGCTTGTGCTACCAACCACTAATCTCAAGGCAGGAATTCTTATCACTATCCCCAGTTTATCCAGGAGGAAACCGGCACTGAAATGCTGGTCTCACATATCGAAGAAAGGCTGAGGCTAGTATTAAAATTAAAAAGAAAATGGTTCTACAATCTATGCATTTAAATTCTACACCATACACAAAACGAACAACAACACAGAGAATCCTAGCTCTTACAGATAGTTTGGTAAATTATCACCTACCTCTGGAGGACAGGTGGCCACGTGAAACTAGGCCACAGATTCCTCTTTGGGGAGACAGAACGGGCTGGGAAAGTGCTACTTTCCTTTAGGAGAAGCAGGGCTGGAGAGATAGATGGCTCAGAGGTTAAGAGCACTGACTGCTCTTCCAGAGGTCCTGAGTTCAATTCCCAGCAACCACATGGTGGCTCACAACCATCCGTTATGAGATCTGGTGCCCTCTTCTGGTGTGCAGATATACATGGAAGCAGAATGTTGTACACATAATAAATAAATAAATAAATAAAATCTTTAAAAAAATAGGAGAAGCAGATGATATGTGTATCCAACTTAGAGGTGATGCAAATGCAAGGCAATTATTACAAGTTAATGCAATATAGGATAATTAAGGTTTTATTTCATAGTTCTTTCCCTAGCAATTAAAAAGGTACTCAAAAGAAGAAAAAGTCTATATGGATGGATAAGTATTTTCCTTATATTAACATTTACAACAAAAACTAGAAATAAGCACCCAAAAACTGAGCATTAAAATTTTTGTATGATTGTTCGTTTTGTTCTTAATTAATTTGGGGGGAGGGGACATGGTGCTGGGGAGGGACTGGGAGGTGAGCAGAGTTGGGGTGCATGTTGTAAAGTTCCCAAATAATCAATAAAGAATTATGTTTAATTTTTTTTGTATGATAGCAAAGCAGTGTTGGTACACATCTTTAATCCCAGCACTCAGAAGGCAGAGGGAGTGACTTGTGAGTTCAGGGTCAGCCTGGTCTACAGATCAAGTTCCAGGATAGGCAGGATTACACAGGGAAATGCTGTTTTTCGGGGGAAAATATGATAATGTAAAAGTACATTTATGGAGTATAAGTGCTTGATAAAACATGGGACTATAAGGAACAAACACAACCTACTGGGGGCTGGAGAGATGGCTCAGCAGCTAAGAATCACGGGCTGTTCTTCCAGAGGACCCAGGTTCAATTCCCTGTAACCACATGACAGTTCACAACTGCCTGTAACTGCAGTTCCAAGAGCTCTTCCAGCTTTCACTAGCCCAGTGTGCTACCTTACTCAGAAAATAGTAACAAAATTTAAATTAAAAAAAATCAAAGGTGTGCACCTTGGAATACAGCTAGATAAAATGATATACAATCAGAAGTAGAAAGAAAAAGACATGGAAATATGTTCTATCTGATCTATTTATTGTGCAATAAAAGGAAATAAGAGGAAGTGACAATGTTTTCTAAATAACCTTAAGGTGAGTTCTCCATAGTAACTCGTGAGAGCATGGACAAGGTGGTTTAAAGGGACTCTTCACAGATTCAAAATAAATGTAGCTGTGATCCTTTGACGCTTACATATTGTTTATTTACATATTCACGAGTGTGTTTCCTTATTTACTGGGGATCAAACCTAGAGCCTTGTGCATGCTGGGCAAGAGCTCTGTGACCGCCAAACTATAACTATATCGCTATACCCCATGCTGATTTTGTATCTTAAGTAATGATGCTCCCTGCTTCTCCTTTGTACTGTAGTATAATGGGATGTGCCTACAAGGACCGGCAGGAGTTCCTGGTGGTGGTGGG